ACGCGAAGAGTAATGATTTTGACGAGAACGAAAAATTGTTGCAAAGATTTTAATAACAAATGACTAATATCAATTTTCGAAACGAGATAATGGAATCGCGAGAATATTTTTAAATTGATCGAATTTATTTATATACTATTCTAACGTTTCCAAATATGATCAATATCGATAGAGAAGCGAAACATTTATAGATATCTGAACTTTTGAACTTGTGACCTGTTTTATTTTAGAATAGAGGGATAGATTTGTTTTCGAATATTAAAAAAATTATTCGGATTTTTTATTCTTAATAACAAATCGATGAATTTCGTATTACCGAAATACTCGTCGAAAATTCGAAAACGTACTTGTCACGAATTACTCGAGTAAGTTTGCGTAACGTTGTAAAATATTTTTACGAGCATCGTAAACTATCTTTGCTACACGGTACAGCATGAATTTTTAAAAATCTTGTAAAAAAAACATAACTTTTATATCCTTATTGTATATTTGTCACAATTATTTTTATATTCACCAGTTTCTTTTTTAAATCCGATCACAAGTCACGTAACCTTAGGGCTTGATTCACGGATCAAAAAGAAGATGAGAAACGGAAATGTTCCCTCTTTCCCCAGTTTGAATGCCATTGTCAGCATTCAATCGAGACTTTGTCCGTCAAGAATATTGAACTTGGACGATTCGAACGGTTCAAGTATCGCTCAAGTTCGCTACTATGAGTCGAAAACTTCTTTAAGAGATCCTTGGCGAATCCATAATCGGTAATACGAGGACAGAATTTTATTCCACGCTCGCACATCGTTTCGCATCGATCCGTTCCAATTTTTCGTATCTGCTAGATTCTCGCATCGACTTCGCGCTTCTTTTTCGATAACGTCAGCTTTCCAACGCTGGAATCTTTCCACCAGAATAAAAATTGCTATTCGTTAATCGTTATCAACGTATCAATTACGACCCGATCGATCATTTCTCTATTCGATGCTCGATCGTTGTCTTTTGTCTCCCAATTATTTATAATATTATTGATTATTTAACATTATTCGTAATAAAATTGCGATTTTTCTTCGTTTCAGTTTTACTCGATTAATAATCAATAATCGATATTATCATCATCATCATCATCATCATCATACCGGTTATTAATCGGGACGAATAATCAATATTGACGGATTAATAATTGACTACGATTTAAAAGCAAGATAAATTAGGCGATTTCGTTTTCACGTGTTAAATTAATGAAGCAATTTCCAGGACATCGTATCAGAGGATATTTCGCATAGCATAAGATTATTACGATTAAGGTTAAACTGGTTTCATCTCGAGAGAGTAGAACGAGGACAAAAAAACGAAACAACAGTTATTGAATATGTATGGGATGTAACGATTGTCCGTGTATCGTCGGCTCCTTTATCGTATGCAAAAACGAGAGTTCTCGGACGTATCGCGCGCATACTTCCCCTCGTCGTCGTATCGAATGTTAAAGTGTCGATACTCGATACAGTTGAATAGGTTTGCAAAGTAGATAATTGTGTCAAACTGGTAAACTGGAATGAAAAATCATGCGTTGCAGCACAAAAAAACTTGAACATTTCTTTTTCTCCTTCTTCTTTTTCTCTCGATTTTTGACTATTACTGTTCGTTATATCGTATACACGCGTATAGGAAGAAAGACAAGAGGAAATAAAGGAAGGAATAGGATGAGAAGGTAGGCAAGATCGATACGATCGTAGAAAAGATATTAGGATATCGGAGGGCGAAAGCGAGAGGGAAAGAATGGTAGAGAATGTTGTTACCAACCCGAGCGTGGAAATAAAAGAGGGGAAGAAGGACTTTGGAAGGGTGGGTCACGGATGGCGCCACGGTAAAAGCAAGCAACCACCTCCGATAGGAGGGTAGGCGAAGCGAGGTGCGGCGTGGCGAGAGCTGCAAATCCACCCCCGTAAAGCGATCCGCCACCAAGGGGTTTGGAAAGTCGCCATTTCTGCCTAACTCCGCAGTCGCTATATTCACGCTTTAATGCCAATGAAATGTCAAGGCACGTCGCGCGTTATAGACTGGCCGACATCGTCGAGCTGTTCGGTGACTTCGTAAGCTCGTGCATCGTCACGTTGTCGCGAGTCCTCGTCGGGGCCTCGTTGATCGCGCTCGTACTCGTGCTTGTGCTCGTGCTCCTGCTCGTGCCTCTGCTCGCCCTCGTCCTCGTCCTCGTCCTCGTTTTCTTCGCACCTGTGCTCATTGTGATTTTACGAGTATCCCCGTGCTCGTGCTCGTGCCCGTGCTCGTGCCCGTGCCCGTGCCCGTGCCCGTGCTCGTGCCCGTCCTCGTCTCCGTGCTCGTGCTCGCTACTCGACCGTGTACTCGACCGACTTCGCCTCTACGGATCGAGGCTTTGAATCGAAATAAACGGAACGAGGACGACGAAGAAGGAGAGCTGGTCCATCGCGCGTCCATCGCGAACCCCCGGTAAAAACGTCGAGCCTTCCTCGGTGATTCCTTGACCTTGACACTGGACGCACACCGACAACAACCGTACACGATCCGTGTACGAATCGAGGAGGGAAGCGTTAAGGGAAGAAGCAGGGAGCCACGAGTACGACCGCCCGAATTCTGGCTGAACAGAGAGAGCCCTTGATCAAAATTTTATATGCCACGAACGACGGTCAGGTAAAAGAAATCGTTCGTCGGAGACCGCCGCCGAATCGGTTCACGATGAGCGAACAAGATGTGGATGACGTTGCCTTTCTGACAGGTGAGACAGCGCACCGCTCGACATTTCTCTCCCCCATTCCTCTCTTTCCATCCCTTTCTCCTTTTCCCTTCCCTCCCTCGTTTCCCTCTCTTTTTCGCACACGCCGATCCTTCCTCTTCCTTTCGAATCGTTCGACCAGATGGCCCACTTACGACCCTCCGGGCTACGAATAGACTATACGAGGAGCACGTGCGTGCGATCAATAAAGGAGAAGCTTCTTCCGATCTTTCGGATTGAAACACGCGATCGTATCGCCGTTTCTCGCCTCGATCTCTTCTCGCCTTCGGCTCTTCGCCATCATTCAAATTTTAATCCCGACCGGATCGCGGTATAACCTCGCGCGTAAACACGTTCGTCCAAACACCCATCGTTCCTACTCCGTAATAGACAGACGCACGTCGCGCGGACGAACTTATTTCGCGCGAATTGCTCTCGCTCTCGAAAAAGCTCCGTTTTTGTTTACTTCTCGCCCTCCTCTCTTTCGAACCAATGCTGCGCCGCACGCGTGCATCCCCCCACCCCCCAATTATTAAAATTACGATCTTCCAAACTGGAATTCGATAATAAAATATACACGAACGTCTCACGTGTTTCCGAGTAACCACATTAACGTCACACGTCGCTCGTCTCTCGACAATCAAAAATCTGGGTCAAGTGTGTAACCGAGGACGGGAAACCTGTTTCTCACGTTAGTAGACATTTTATGTTTGGAAACTTTATCAACCTCGTCGCTCGCGTTTGTATTTTACTCTTTTTCTTTTCTTTTCTTTTCTTTTTTTTTTTTCTTATTTTTTAATTATCAACACCAATACGTTTGTTCGCGTTATCGGAATAAACTTTTAAATATTATGTGTTTAACGTATGTGTACGTACGTATACATACAAGATTGGATCACTCTTCAGGAGTCTTCCTTTGTTCCAGGAGACAGTAACACAGGATTGCACAAACGTAGTATTTACGAGCATAATGGAATTGTGTGTTCTCAAAAAAGGGCTCTCTGCATAGCTACCGTTGTTTTTGCGATCCTTTTCGCCATATCACTCATCATTGCCTTCGCGGGACCACAAAACGGTAGTGTAAAAATTCCATCAATTCGTGAATATAATAAGGAGCAAAATCGAGTTTCAACTATTCCCCCTTTGTATTATTGGTTTTCTCGTTTTTTTTTTTTTTGTTTTTAATAGACTGCCCTTGCGCTGGAGAGAAGCCAGCCAGCGTGGATATCGAGGACGATAAAAAAAGCAGCGAGCCTCTTGCGACTAATGGAGAGGTATGGTTATTATTATTTTTATTATTCGTTTTTATTTCCCTTGATGACGATATCGTAACGTCGAGCAAAACATCGTATCGCGTTTATTTCACGCATATTCTAAACCACGAATTCCTCGAATTAATATCGACTCTATTCGGGTTGCAAGAGAAATTAGAACGCCACGTCCAAAGTGTGAAATATTCGTATTGGATTCGACGTCACCTTTATAATACAACGTACGTTGTAATATAGGTTCCGTATGGTATTATAATGCTCTCACCAAGATATGCTTGGCTCGAAGCTAACTGTGAACGAACTACGAAACGTGTTGGCGGGAAATCAATCGTAACACGTCACCGTGATCTATAGTATATATATATATACGTATATATAGTAACTGCTATAACGTCGTACCGTTCGTAAACTTTTATCATACGCGGAAAACGGATAGATGGACAGATCTTTTTATTCAATCGTTTAAAAATAAAGTTGATCGAACGGAATCGTTACAGGTGTTCCCTTGGAATAACGTGAGATTACCTACGTTTGCGCATCCTACCAGGTACAATATCACCATCCATCCAAATCTTACAACGTTAGAGGTAAAAGGTAAATAAACGACGTGTGTCGTTCGCACATATTCAATAATTATTTCGTGGCACGATTAATATAATTTAATTTGCACTTTCAGGACAGGTCACGATCGAATTCTACGTCGATAAAGAGACCAACTATATCGTCTTCCATAGTAAAAATTTGACAATAAACGAGAAAGTGAGTGTAAAGCAATTTTTCTTCTCTTTTTTTTTTTGAAATTACGCACAGACGTAATTTTGATCGCATCGTTTTTTTTTAGATGATTCAAGACCGTAAAGGGCACAGATTAAAAATTTCGAGATTGCTGGAATATCCGAAACACCAACAATTGTATTTAGAACTGGAAGAGAGTAAATTTCGAAAGAGGGGAAATTACACGGTACATTTGAGGTTCATTTCGAAACTCAGCAGCGAACTGGAGGGATTTTATCTTAGCAGCTACGTTACCCCGGAAGGAGAAAAGAGGTCACTCTGAAACTGTAATAATTTTCTGTTTGGAAAATCTGTTGAAGGCGCGTTTCTATCTCGAGTAAATTTTTAACCGAATCTCTTTCTCTCTTTTTTTTTTCTTTCTCTCTCTCTCTCTCTCTCCCAACTTTAGGTACCTCGCGACAACCCATTTCGAACCTACGTACGCACGCTCGGCATTTCCATGCTTCGACGAACCGCAATTTAAAGCTAAGTTCAAGGTTTCGATATTCAGAGACAGATTTCACATCGCGTTGTGCAACATGCCTGTAACGAACACCGAGGACGCGGGATTTTACATGGGCACGGGCCTCGTGAGTATCGTGAGAAACGATTGATTCGCGCGCACAATAATATTCTATACGCGTGATAAATTTTTTTCAGCTTCGCGACGACTTCCAAGAATCCGTAGAGATGTCCACGTATTTGGTGGCGTTCGTAGTGTGCGATTTCAAACGAGTCTCGGAATTAACGAAAAGAAATATTTCCGTGAGCGTTTACGCGTCAGAGGCGATGCTTCCACAGGCGAGATACGCGGTGACAACAGCCGCTCGTATAATGGATTACTTCGAGTCTTTTTTCGGGGTACATTATCCATTGCCTAAACAAGGTACGTGCGAAGAAAAGATCTTTCCCTTTCCTTCTCGTTTCTTTTCAACTCGCGATCTCCATTCCGCAGATCTAATAGCTATCCCCGATTTTGCCACCGGGGCGATGGAAAACTGGGGACTGATCACGTATCGGGAGACATCGATACTTTACGATCCGGAAGAGTCGTCGACCAACGTTCACGAATGGATCGGTACGATCGTGGCTCACGAATTGGCCCACCAATGGTTCGGTAATCTGGTCACTATGAAATGGTGGAACGACTTGTGGTTGAACGAGGGGGCGGCCAGTTTCTTCGAATACAAGGGGGTGAATCACATTTCACCCGAGTGGAGCATGATGGACAAGTTTATATTAGAGAAAACGCAATCGGCTCTAGATCTCGACGCGTTGGCCACCAGTCATCCTATAAGCGTCCAGGTCAAAGATCCGAACGAGATCGAAGCGATATTCGACGATATCAGTTACAGTAAGGGTGCTTCCATTCTAAACATGCTTGAAGGCTTTTTATGCGAAGACGTTCTCAAAAGCGGATTGAACGATTATCTGAATTCGCACGCGTATGGAAATGCAGATACGAACGATCTTTGGGCGGCCTTTACCAAACATGCCAATAATACTTTTGACGTGAAAGTAGGTATAAATTTAGACCGATATATATATATATATAT